GCTGAGTGCTTTAACCACTGTGCCAGCAGGGCTCCCCTTCCAGTATAGTGGGGAAAAAAACTAAGTGATCATATTTCTTTGTATATTTTACTCTTCATTTTGAGAAGAGATGAAAATATTTTCTAGTAAGGTTTTTTTTTTTTTGGTTTTCTAATTTTAATGGTAATTTTTCCATCATAAAAGTAAGGCATACTTGTTATAGAAAATTTTGTAAATAAGGATTTGTAGAAGCAAAGAAATCAACCATGATCCCACTGTCCAGAGCTAAATACTATTGTTATGTTGTGTTCTCTTCACTTTTTAAAGAAAACAATTGTTTTGTGGCATATATAAATTATGCTACTTTAAAAATTATATTTTTTATGATTATGAAAGTAATCCATGAGTGACAAGAGCCTCTTCCCATTGTTGGAGTCACTTTCCTCTTTTGGGATATGTGGGGCTCAAATTTAGCTTGGCTTGTTACTCATTCATTCAACAAACATTTATTAAGTCCCAGCTATGTGCCAGGCACTTTATAGGTGCTGGGGATACAGTCATGAGCAAGGAAGATTTGACCCTGCCGTCATGGAGCTTACAGTCTAGTGGGGGAGGCAGACAGGTAAAGAAGTAATGCCAAGGGCATAGTTCTATGGGAGCGCGTAGCAGGGACACCTAGCGCAGACTTGAGGAAGTGACATAATGTAAGGTATGAAGGATCAACGGGCTTGCTATGCAATCACTGTGGCGTGGGGGGAGTGTTTCTGGTACAAAGGCCCAAGTGCATGGTGTATTTGGAGCACTATAAGTGGTTCAGGACGGCAGCAACTAAGAGGTTAGATCAGAAGAACTTTATAGCTCATATTAAGAAGTCAAGTTTTATCCTGTGGACAGAAGGGAACCATTGAAGGGTTTTAAGCAAAGGAATGATATGATCAGACTTGCATCTTTAGAAATCTCTCTATTGTGTGAAGAATTAGGAGTGGGCAACAGTGGGGTCACGGAAGCCAGTTATGAGGCTGTTGTGTTAATATGGATGAGAAAAGATGATGGCCTGGGGCTAACATATTGACACTGGGAACAGAAGTAGATTTGAGAGCTGTTTAGTATGTAGCATCAATAGGACTTGGTGATTAATGTGTGTGGGAAGAAATGAGAGATGGAAGGAGAGTGTGAATTTCAGGTTTCTAGATGATGGATCAACTGGAAAGCTAGTGGTGAGGTGGGAAAATGGGAAGAAGGACAGGTGTGGTTGGAGGTGGGTAGGGGAGGATGGGTCACTTTTGGACTTGCTGAGTTTCAGGTGCCTATGTGCCATACAGGTGGAGATGACTGTAATTGTTAGATGCTGTGTTAGATGCTGTTAACACTTTAAAGAGGTCTTTTGCAGAAGATTTGCCCAATGCAATGTGTCTTTTGATTTTTTGACTGCTGCTTCCATGGGTGTTGATTGTGGATCCAAGTAAAATGAAATCCTTGACAACTTCAGTCTTTTCTCCATTTATCATGATGTTGCTTATTGGTC